AAAAAAAAAAAAAAAAAAAAAAAAAAAAAAAAAAAAAAAAAAAAAAAAAGCATGCTGTTTCAAAAACTATAGAACTTGAGGAAAACAATTTCAAATCCATAAAGATTTTTGTTGAGAGTTCTTGATGATATGTGTCACTATGAACAATTATCCCAAAAAAATCATGAAAAAAACACGTTGAGTTTGGTCTGCAGTATAGGTAATGAACAATCACAATTTTTCTTCTTTCGCGTGCACCTAAAAGTGAGAAATTGAGAAGCGATCATATGTAAATTTAGCAGAACAAGCCAATCGCAGAGACGTTAAGAAAATGGTTGCTAGGAACTATCAGAAAAACCAAAAACAAGATGATATATATGCGCGTAAATCATTTATATATTCATAATGAGGAGTAAATAAAATAATCTAAGAATCGATATTGAAGTAATTTCATAGGGAAATCAGGAAGAATACCTGAAGGTCTGCGACTTCAAATCAAATATCAGAACTACGAGGTTTTAGAGACGATAATTGCAGAAACAGTGGCAACGCAAAAGCGATGGAGAAGCGCCCTAAAGTGCTAGGGTTTAAGCAATCTACAGAAAACCACCCGGAGAGGCGACGGAGAGAAGACGATGCGGGGAGAGGTGGGAGGACGAGCGGCGGCGAGATCAGTTTTGATCGGCAAATCGATGCCGAGGGGGCGTTCGGTTTCTCTCAAACGTACAAGGGCGATGGAGTGAAGTCTAACGACTGACCGATGCCTTCGGGGCTTTAAGTTTTCTTGAGACCATTGGAAAAGGGAAAATTTATAAAAATGGCCCAAAAAGTTTTGGACTTCTTAAAACCGGCACATTTTTAACTCAGTTTCAAATTATTAGCAAGGAGAGAAGGTAAAGTTACCCAAAGAATGTCCTTGTTAGCACACCGCCTAGTTCAAAGTGCATCTTCTAGGTTAACACAATTCAAAGTGTGTGTATTTATAGGTTACTTACTAAACTAGAATATTCATACCATCTATTAGCACAATCTCAAATGGTCATGCTCTCATTTGGCTTCATACACGACTTACTAGCCAAGTTTCTGTATGTATGTATATATACATATATATTTGGAGGCCTACGATTTTATAATTTATTAAAGAAATGAACATAAAAATAAATTAAAGAAAGAAAGAAAGAAATAAGGAAAAGAATTAAAAAAACAGAAATTTAGAAAATAAATAAATTGAAAAAATTGAAAAAGTATTTTATACAGTCGTTGTCCAGCGTTCTACGACGATGTTGTCGTCGTTTCGAGGGTTTTTGTTTTTCCATTTCGGTGCGAAGGTCGCCTCCGTCGTCGTTTTGAGGTAACTTCATTCACCAGCTTCCAACGCCCTCTCTCTTTTCTTATCCCTTTATGCGTTTTATTTCTTTTCCCCGCCATTTATATACGCTGCTCAATCTGCGTCTTTGCTTAGGGTTTTCCTTTCCCTTTCCAATAAGTTCTTTCGCGGTATTCGATTCTATTCAACGCGCGCCAAAATCAGATTACGAATTACCAATCAATTCATTTTTTTCTTTAATCAACGAATGAGGAGCTTGAATAAATATCCAATTCCGAGCGCATTGCGTATCTGTAATTGTTATGAATTGCCGATTTTTGGGGCCAAACTTTCTTGGGTGACGATGCTGATTTTGTGGGAATTCCCTTTTCCCCTTCTAATCCTAATTCCCAGACAGAGATGCTCAGGGATCTTAAAAGGAAATCCACTCTTGATTGGTTCTGTCTGCAGCGTTCTTTTAATTATTGGTCATGTTGACGTGATATTTTTATTTAGAATGACGATCAGTTCTCTGGCCCATTGATCCGTTCCATGAGTGTTTGAACAGTCTTTTAATGTAGCTCTGTTAGTTTTGTTCGAGGACTAATTCTGTGAGAGTAGAAAATCAGTTACTTCCTGATTGGTCATGTTTGTGCATGTTTCATTTAGTTTAGGTGAAGTTTTCTTGATATTGTTTATTAAGCTGATCAGGGCTCCAGCGCATTAACATGTTCAATGCATATTTGTACAAAATATGATCAAGCTGGGATTGAGTCATTTCTGTCTTTTTAATCATGTGGTATGGTCATACTCAGTGTCATGTAAACTTGGAGATGTTGGACTTGAGTTAAATGGTTGGCTTTTTTTCTCTCATTTTGCTGTTCCGATCAGTGAAAGTGATGGAAGTGTCATTAATGGATCCTTATGGGACCAATCCTGGACCAATTGAGAGCTCGGTTCTTTATGACCAAGAGAAGCACGTCTCCTCAGCAGTTTGGGATGGTCAGGTGCAGTTTGTAATCTGATGAACTTTCTTATTTTCATCTGTATTTTTTGTTTGTATGTTACAGTTCTAATTTTAGTTCTCAATATTATGAATGATGGTTCGAACTAATGGGTACGCTGTGCAGGAGCGAGGTGCTCTTAGGTGCCATGAGCACACTTCCAAGCTTGATCAGTGGACACTTACGGCCAGACAAATTGAACTAGTAGAGAGAGCTGGATTTGGGTACTTGAGATTGATTCCTGCAATCAGTCTGGATAACCCACTGATTTCTGCTTTGGTTGAGAGGTGGAGAAGAGAAACAAATACCTTCCACTTGAATGTTGGGGAGTTGACTGTAACTCTGAAAGATGTTGCTCTCTTACTGGGACTAGCAATTGATGGAGACCCTGTTATTGGTTTAACATATACAACCTGCCACTCTGTCTGTGAGAGATATCTGGGAAAAGCCCCAGATCCTGGGTATACGAGTGGTGGAATGGTTAAGCTTAGTTGGTTGAAAGAGTTCTTTTCTCGGTGCCATGAAGATGCTCCAATGGAAATTGTTGAACGGCATACACGTGCTTATCTTCTTTACCTCGTAGGCAGTACAATATTTTCCACCACAACTGGCAATAAAGTGCCTGTCATGTACCTTCCGTTATTTGAGAATTTTGACCAATGTGGGAAGTTTGCTTGGGGAGCAGCTGCATTAGCATTTTTGTACAGAGCTCTTGGAAATGCTTCCTTAAGGTCACAAAGTACCATCAGCGGTTGCTTAACCTTATTACAGGTTAATTATTGGTCTTTTTCTCTTTCCTATCCCCTATTTCATCATGTGATCCGTTTATCTTCTTTAGCTGCATTGTTATTTTTAATTGAACATCGGCTTTGCTTTTGTTTTACTTTCCAGTGCTGGAGTTACTTTCACCTTAATATTGGGCGCCCAAAGCTAAATCAAGATCCAATGCACAATCGCTTTCCATTTGTGCTTAGATGGAAGGGAAAACAAAGTGGTCCAACAGCAAATCGTGATGTAGTATTTTACCGCAAGGCTTTGGATTCCCTGAAACCTTGTGATGTAATCTCTATATTTTAATTCTTTCTCATCTAATTCTAGAACAGCGGAGCATTATTTGTAATACACCCGAGTGTGACCAGGTTTGTAATTGACTTTGTCCTATAGGTGGAGTGGCTACCTTATAGAAATATGGATAGTATGCTAATTCCAGAAGATATTAAAAGTTCTCTGTTCCTTGGGAGGGCAAGGACAATGTTGATATGCTTTGATAAGGCAGAGAGGCATCTTCCTAACCGTTGCTTAAGGCAGTATGGTATGCCACAGGCAATCCCAGAAGATGTACCACGGTGGGAGAGAAAGAGCCGGGGTGTTGATGGAGGAGTTGATCTGTCTGCAAAAATGGAAGTCGAGCTTAATGAATGGAGAGACCGTGGACGACAAATTGTTGATTGTGATGAGAGTTTAGATGAGAATGAATACACACAATGGTACCTGAAAATTACTCGTAGGTTTGTTGGGAGGCCCATATCTCTCTCATCTGAGTTTCAGAGGACGGTAAGGCCATAATTCTTAGATTATTATGCAAATTGAATCTGTTGTTTAGTTTTAATCTTTTTAAGTTTTAACAGAATGCTGGTTTGAGGGATATCGCACACATAGCAGATACATTCCCAACCAAAGGGTTGGATCAGCAACAAATTGATTTGATTTCAAGGATAAGATGCATTGCTCATGATTGCTTAAGAGATCAAGTTGGAGGTCCAATTATTTTGTCCTCCACCCCCCAAATTGAACTTGGGAAACGAGTCAGGGGAAAAGAGAGAGTCAGAAGGAGAGGTATAGGAAAACGTGTAAGGAAGGAGGAACAATTGCAATACAATGCAGTTAGTGAGGATGATCAATCTCATTTTTGCGAATCTGCCATTGAGGTTGATCAACTACAACTCCATCACATGAATAGAGAGATGGAGCATCCAGAGTTATGTTCTGTTGATGTGGAGGTGGATCATTTACCACTTATTCATGAAGTTGATGAGGATGATAACATGCAGTTGTGTCGAGCCAATATAGGGGTTGACCATCCTGGGATGATCCATAATGCTGCTGGGGGAAATATGGCTGAGTTAAGCCATGCTGGTATTAAACTTGATGAAGCAGAGCTGTGTGATGCACCTAAGGATGTCGATGACCTACATTTATCTGATACAATCAATGAAGTTACAGATACCCAGATTTGTAGTGCAATGGATACTGTTGATAGACAGCATTTCCCTACATCTGAGGAAGCCAAGGACTCACAGCTTTATCATTTAACTGAGGAAGTTAACATGCCAAAGTTCCCCGACACAGCTAACAAAGTTGATAATTCAGAGCTTTTCCATGGCTCTTTTAAGAGCTCTCCGCAGACCGGTGAACTACCTGCTGATATTGTTTCAGAGACATCTTTTGTGCCTCATGAGGCTATGGTGCAGAAAGGGAATAACAGTGTTTATATAAAACAGAGGTATTATTATTTTGACAAGCTTTGGTCAGTGAAAATTGCCGCCCTAGTATGCTGGTTGACTTTGTGATGCAATTGTTGTGTATTCAAGTTCTTTCCTTTCTGTCAAGGTTAAAACGGCTTTCACTTTCTTTTTTGACAGATGAATGTGCGGCCCAAGGCTAATGCATAAATTTCACGATGGATGATAGGCTTAGTCATTTGAAGCTGTTGGATATAATTTTTTTATACTGATAGGTTAAAATATTTTGGTTTGCCCCATTAATCATATTTCATGAGTGACGCAATCTTCATTTTTACCCTTTTTTTTTTAAGTTTGGTTTCATGATGAAATACATTCCTTGAATTGATTTCAAGTTTTCCCTTGTTACAGAGCACACTTTGGAAGTATTTGAAACAAGGAGGGTAGCCCAAAAGGAAACAATCGTTTGCTACAACTTCCGGTGAGGAAATTTTTTTCCTGAAGAATCCCCAATAATTTGCATCTTATAGTCACTGTTGCTTGAAGTTGTTTTCTGCTCCTGTTGAATATTTTCTATACTGTGTTTGGGTCGGTCTGAAGTAGTGCAGTAAACAGATGGACCCGTTGATATGTCAGTTTCTGCTCAATTTTTTCTGTTCATTTCTGGAGTGTTTGATTCCCTTTGTTGGTTACTAATAGTTCACCACAAAATATATGCATAGCTTCAAAAGTTTCCTATTTGATTCTTCTGTTTTTATCATCTTTGTCACTTCAGACCAGAAAAAAAAGTTAGGGCCAAAGGGACCCATAAATCTGATTGCAGGACTCTCGGGGTCTTAGTTTTTTTCTTGGTCAGATTCTTAATCACCTTGAATTAGTCTTTTGCATTTGTTGGAGGCAAGTTCTTTCCAAAAGACCAATCATCCCTTTCTATATCTTGTTTTCTAGGTAGTCCTTTCACTTCAAAAAATGATCCGGATCAACATCTTGTAATTCCTTTTTTC